ATAGCTATGCAGCTAAAAAAATAGTTACCATCAGGTTTTTCTCTGTTTATACTGTGTATAACGTAGATTTTATTACAAAATCATTTGATTTACATACTTTCTCTAATGTAAATACGATACTTTTTCCAACTAATATATAAACATCATGTTTTATCATATAAGTCATTTTTTACGCCTTTACATTTTAAGTAAAAACAAAAAGTAACATTGTTTAATTTCATAAATATTAAAACCGTTTAAGTTTGACTATTAATGTAAAATTATAATTTAACATGATCGAAAATAATCATTGAAATTGAAATTAAGATAATGTAAAGTATATGTTGCAAGTAAATAAAAAATTATGTATATTATCGTGTGACTACTTTTTTTTTAATTATTTTAAGGAAGTATAAAAAATTTCGAATGTCTCGTATGAAATTATTATTATTACATATATAGTGATTATAACGTAGAAAATACGAAGGAATAAAAGAGATATCTTTAACTTCTGTGTTCACGTTGTGAGCAAAGCTGAGAGATAAGTATCTTTTTTAGTCAGTCGAATTGTCAGATTTCTGATATCAGTATCTGCGCATTTTCTCATAAATTATTTTTGCGTTTTACAACAGCACAATATTTTCTGCTTTCTTGAATATACGAAAAACATATATTTAATCTTATAAAATAAATAATATAAAAAAAAACGTATATTTATTTCAAATGTATGTTCTCTATAATTTTATATACTTTATGGCAAATCATTAATTGACATTGGCGAATGTTTTAGGGACAAGCGCGACAGAAAGCCTCCCAGTTTCTCTGATCAAGAGAAGCAAGTAGCAAATGCAATGAAAGATTTTCACTTATAAATCAAATTTCTGTAAAATACTATAGGTAGAAGTACGATGGACGTTACTAATACGAGGTTTGTAAGATACCTAGATAATCGAATTTTATAAAAAAAAAAAAGATAATAAAAATATAATATAACTACGACAATATTATGTTGATTGTTTGGTAAATATAGTTAAAAGCGAATTAAAATGCCTTGGTTATCTCTCAAAATATAGTATAAATTAATAATAATGTTTTCAATAATAACAAAACAACGTTTAATATAACGAAATTCGTGTATTTGTGCATATAGAGATTGACGTGTAACATTCTCTTGTTTGAGCGTACTCAGCAATAATTCGTAATACTTGAATGTTATCACATAAATGGTAAACATTTTAGCAAGGTCGCGTGTATATATATATATTTACATACACATAATATTTTCACCCATATATAAATATTATTCGCCAGCAAATAATACGCGGTCAACAAGTATTGCTGTTAAACATTTCTTTCCTAAGCCTTTTACTAGGGAGTATAATTTAACACTTATATAATTACAAACGCTTTACATTTCCGGCGGCGGGCCGTACATGGGATTTAATTGTTGCGTGCAGCGTATAAATGTCGCTCGCCGCGGCAATTCGCGCAAACGCTCAGCTCCCGTGTAAGTACAAGCGGATCTCAGGCCGCCTAAAATGTCCAGCACGGTATTCTCGACGAAACCTCTGTAAGGCACTTCGACAGTCTTTCCCTCTGAAGATCTAGATCGGAGAATTATATAGCATGATCATTACCCGTATCTACGTTATCGTAATAACCAGCATTTACCGACGTTACCTATAATCCGCAACTCCGCCAGCATGCTTCTTCATGGCCGTGCTGGAGGCCATCCCGTAGAAGAGCTTGAATTTCTTACCATTCTTCTCTATAGTTTCGCCCCCGCATTCATCGTGGCCGGCAAACATGCCGCCCGCCATGACGAAGTCCGCGCCGGCACCAAACGCTTTTGCCAAATCACCCGGACAGGTGCAACCACCGTCCTGCATAGAGAAGAAGAAAACCAAATTATCAATCAACTCGGAGAACGTTAACACGTCTCTTTGAAACACGTAAAAGTGTGTTGTGCGGAAATATACGAGTGTAATGAGAATATTGGGAATAAACGGGATGTAATTATAATTCGTACTAATCGGGCCGTACACGGGGAACATGATATACTTACGGCAATAATGTGTCCCTTCAAGCCGTGTGCCGCGTCCGCGCACTCAATTACCGCGCTCAACTGGGGATAGCCCACGCCGGTTTTCATTCGCGTCGTGCACACGGAACCAGGCCCGATTCCCACTTTAATTATATCTGCCCCGGAAAGTATCAGTTCTTCCACCATTTCTCCTGTCACAACATTTCCTGCCTGTAGTGGCAGCAATTAATCTTTACGTTTGAGCGAAATGGTATCGCCCCATCTTCCGGCGTACCGATAACAATTGCTTTGCTAATCGAAGCTGAGAGAAACGAAAGATACGTTCATCCGCGAGTACTTACGATTATGGTGTGGTTCGGATATCGCGCTCTTACTTTTCTCACGTGCTCGACAAAATGTTGGGAATAGCCGTTCGCGACGTCCAAGCATATGAACGACAGCTCTGGCACTACGTCCAGAATACTCAAGAGGCGTTCGTAATCCTCATTTCCTGTTCCCGAGCTGGCCGCTACGTTCTTTATGCAGTCCGGATTAAGCGTGGCGAAACTTTTCCATTCATCTGCGGTGTAATATTTATGAATCGTAGTAAAAAGGCCGTGCTAGAAAAAGGCGCACAATAAGTTACGGTAACGCATCTCCATTGAGAATTCATTCACAGTCTCATGAATAATGTATCGTGATATTTGCAATTCGATCTACACTTTTTTTCCTTCTTTCTCGCAATTGACCGTTGCGCGATAAAGCGTGACGCATCACATTTCTATTATAAATTGTCCTATACCTTTGATAATGCTTTTGCCATTTCAAATGTTCCCACTGTGTCCATATTAGAGGCCATTACAGGAATTCCTCTATATGTTTGCTTAGAATTCCGAAATGTGATTTCCCTAAAAAGATCTACCTAAAATGCAAGTTGCGAAAATATTAATTTCTCTTAATATATAATGAGTTAATTATCCGAATTAATTAACTCATTATATATAATATCATTATATAATATCATTATATATAATTATCCGAATTAATTAACAGAGGAGTTATGTAAAAAGTTTAAATATGCATGTATATACATGTGTGTCTCATTGTATTAAATTGATATTGAGAAATATATTTTTTAATATAATATATTAGAAGTTTATTGATAGTACAGTTTTCTCTCGATACTTTTTGACATATTATGCGTATAAGGAAAACAACTGCTGTATCATAAAGTAAATATATCGCCACGTAAAAAAAATATAAAGATAATAATATGTCATTCTCTCCGTATCCGAAAAATCTAATGCGCGAAATTTGGTTATATCAATATACAGCTATGAATAGTCAGTAGGAACCATTACAAACGAATAGGTAACAGCTAGCGAGTGCGATTAAATCAATAAGGAAAACTTTGCGCTGAAATAAATTTCGGGCGAGGCCTGGTGAGCACTTTGCAAAGTTACAGTCCACCACCGGTATCAGTAATCAACGACAGTCCCCAAAACGTTGTTATGATTCGAACACGTACGGTAGTTTTGCGTGTCAATCATTGAATTTGAATTACAATCAAGATACAGCGATTCTTGGCTGAACACCTCGATGACGTGTCTTTCATTGTCTTTTTCGTAGCGTCCAAATTTCTACATTTCCCGTCCGACACGGAACGGAGATGCACGCACGCACACACACGCACAGGATAATCCCGAATGTGATCACAGACGATTCCAATTAACGCCAATTATATAAATATGTGACACTCACGTCCGATCTGCTTTTTAGAGTGCTGCGCTTCGGGCGTAGCAGCACGTCCTTAAAGTCCAGCTTTATGTCATTTATTATGTTCGGCATATTTCGGCGAGTGTGTATCCTTTCCTGCAGACGACGGCCGCCCCGGTCTAGCAGACGACGACGGCACTGTCTGTCGTCACGCGAGCTCGGACGTTCTTGCACTGGCTGGCAATCAGCACCCGGAGATGCCTTATCTGATACGTCTGCGCTCTAGACGGAGAGGGCTATTTTTGTCCCTCTCTCTCTTTCTCTTTATCGAACCAGGGCGGTGCGGCAGGCTGGGGGCGCTCCGAGAGAGAAGAATTCCCGTCGTCTCGAACGTACATACACAGGGTGTCCGGTAACAAGCGCGCCTGTCTCACGCACTCGGCGAGGGTCGGATCGCTTGTTGTCGGGAGGCCGAGGAATGAAACGATTCTTTTTCTTAACGGGAATAATACCGAGAGATATGGGAATATCTCTCGGGAGACAAGGCCAATAAAATAAATAGAAAATAAGCAACTTCTCTTTCTTTGTTTTTTTTTTTCTTGAATCGCCTATACAGATAACAGTATCTTGTTCTTTAAGGTGAACTTTGCTTCAACGATCTCGGCTTGTATGTGTAAAAGTTAATTACAGTTGCAGTAACGTGATTATAATATTATAAGAAGTCAAATTCTCTCAGTGCGTTATATAAGTTAGAAGGAAAATGTTGTGAATATGACGCGAGCCAAGATTTCGTCAGGGTGTGAGTTCATTGAAAAACTTCGAAATTTCCATTTGTATATGTAAGTTGTTGGTAAAAACCTCTATTTTTAATTCGCCACGGTTTAAAAACTATCCCCGCATTTCGATATGCTTCCTAAGTGATTTCCATTTTCGACGAAGTATATCACTATGCGCGCAGTTTCAATTGTATTTACTTACACAGTGACTAAAATATAATTAATACAATTTCGAGTACAATCATAATAATTCTAATCTCAACAAATTTCGCAACACCTCTCACTTATGTGATACGTTGCTTAAAAATTGAAAAAAATACTGACGAAACACCTTGTATATTTGTTACGTTTTTTCTTTTATTTCTTTATTGGTCTTATTGGTTCTTTATTGATTTTAAAAGTATCGTGAATTATCATCAAATTGATGTTAGCGTGTCGTACGATTGAAGATCGGTTATGCTTGTGTAATGTTTAAAATCTCAGTTGAAATATCGGAAAAACAATTTGCATATTTATTATAATAGTTTATTTATTTAACTATGTGCCTGTTAATGATAGTAGAATTGCATTGGGCGAGTATGCTTCGAAATAAAATTCAAAACAGATTTTACATGTGAATGAAAAATTAAATACAAAACATGTATGTATGTATTATATTATAATACAATACATATCATTTTACGTAAATTTATCACTTGTAAAGCATGACATATATATATATATATATTTCACTTTACGAATTAATAATTATGAGCAATAGGAAATTTTTAAAGTCCGTTATGACAGGTAAAAAAAAAAACAAATTATATATTGAATAATTGATACCAAAATTCTTCGTTCATTTCTTTTCTTACAATTTAATTCTGTAATATCGTACCCACACAATTTGTAAATCAATTAAAATGATGTACATTTCTAAAGAAGTGTACATATTCTTCGTAAGTTATTTCCATATATAATTATCTCGTATAGATATAATCAATGTAGTATACTTCTAATATTTTTTCAAATTATTTTTACAATTCCTGACAAACATTCGAATTCATACATAATGAGATGAGCATGCAATGAAACTATCCTAATAGTCCCTTCAAATGCTATTATAATGTACACAATAATTATGTTAAATATAAACGATGGCACTATGCGCAATTGAATGATATACTTTCAGACAGCCCTTTCATTACTGTTGCCCATTATTTTGTAAAAATTGGAAATTAATATGCAGTTGTTGAAATAAGTATAACACAACCTTAAAATGAGTTGTATCGCACTAAAAAATATTTAAAAATTCGACAAACTTCGTTCGTCTTTCTAAGAGAAGACGTTTGGGAAGATTTTTTAAATTAATTATTGTAATAATTAACATCGTAAAGGCCAATATATATATATATATATATATAATGTGGACATTATTAAAAATTCGTTAAAATTTCAGTCAGTGTTAACGTGTGACATGCATTTGTCGATATTTTCGAGTGACAACAGTACTCTCTCTTAGATGGTGCCAAAAATAAAAATTCAATTGGCAGTACACAGGGCAGTGCAAAGGAGATACGAGCCATCGTTTACATGTTTTGGAATTCATCGGTGCCGTTCGCGTTGAGCATAAGTATGTTAGGATTTTCCTTTTCAAAGGCAGTCGCGTCTCTACCTCCTGGTCTTTCTTCTTGTCCCCATTCTCCCAGAGTCCCGTGCATTACATCCGGCTGTTCCTTCAGTTTTTCCTCCTCCTTCTGTGACATTACTGACAATTTATGTTCAAACACGAACACAGTAAGACAGTACAAATTTAATTTCCGATATTTAACTTCGATCAATCAGCCTTTATATCGTTTAGTATTGTTTGTTTGCAAACAAATGTATCTGTGCGCCTCGAATATATCGCGAAGATATAATTTTAGTGTTAAATAACCAAATTATATATTAAATAATAAACATCACACAACACTATATTAACTGATACAAAGCTTAACACGTGTAAAAGGATTGCGTATTTATCAGGTACGTTATTCATTATTTTTCACAAACCTGTTTATCCTCTTGCGCAAATTTATCGAACATGTTCGCATAAAGCTTCTTTTCTTTACTTAATTGCTTCTTAATAAGGTTATTACAAATTAAAATCTGCTTAAACGCAGCGGTATTTTTCGGTTCTACTTTTATGACCTCTTGGAAATCCTTAATAGCAACTTCAGGCGATGCAAGCCCAAGATGTGCTAATCCTCTTCTAAACAGAGCCTTCTCGTTCTGAGAGTCCAACTCTAAAGCTTCATCGCATGATTCCTTCGCCAGGATATGTTCATCCGTTTTCAGGTAACACAGAGCGAGATTTAAGTGAGCCGCTAACTCGAGATCTTTCTTCTTCAGCTTAAAGTCATCTCCAGAATTTGATTCACTGTCCGTTTCGCTATCCGACTCGACATTTGATAAATACTTTAAAACTTTCTGGTACATTTTAATAGCTAAGCTGATTTTACCGGACTTAAAGTAGTTCGTTCCCTTTTCTTTGTGCATCTTTGCTTGTTCCATCTTTTCTGAAGCCTTCATCAACCACATCTCGGTTTCCTGTGAATGAACGACACAATCAGTAACAGTTAAGGCAATCACGAAAAGATGCTAGGATTATTTTCACGTTCGGAAGTCAGTTTACCTTCTCGAAGCTCCTGAGTTCTACTTCATACTCCACATCCGCATTAGGTGGAATATTGAATTCAGTGTTTCCTTGTTCCTTAAATGCATATTTACTTTTAATTAGCAATCTAGACTTCTCTCCGTCTAAAAAGCGCTTCAACGCTATCTCCACACCCTCCACAATTCCTACAATCTCTCCTTCCCCAAGGCAAAATTCTACATCTCTGTCTTCGAATATTTGTTCATTATATTTTCCGATAAGATGTACTAAAAGCAAAGAAGTTGTTAAATAAAAGGTGAGGATGTGAGTGGAACTTTTATGTTTAAGCTAATACTAGATCGTGACACTGACTGTTCACTTTGGCGCCATTTTCTGGAGAAACATAGGGCTTCCCAGCGACAATCTGATATCTCTCGATACTTTTGTCTTTATTTGGACTTAGATCTTCTCCGCTCCAGCTAATCAATTCGACCTAAAGAAACATATGTGTTAGAATGCACGACTAATGAATAATTCTCCAGCTTATTCATTTTAATCATTTCAATTTTTAATAAGTGTATACGTTATATATATATATATATATAATTTAAATATTGTTGGCTTATCCATACACAGATAACAAATCCCTTTAACATATCATAGTGAAGTTTCCCGAGACTATAAGGCTCTTTTATCTTTCAATGAATAAGTGAATGTTTACTCACTTCAAATTTTAACGTAGCATCTGGCGGGATCAAAGGCTGGCTACCATTTTTGCCATAAGCATATTCAGGAGCACACGTCAGTATAGCTACTTCACCTTTTTTCATACTCGCCACTCCGATGTCCCATGCTTTAATGACACTACCACGTCCCAGATCAAACTTGAATGGCTTACCCCTGTCTTTGCTGGAGTCAAATTTCGTCCCGTCCAACAAAGTGCCAGTATAGTGGACCTTTACCTTGCAACCAACCGTAGGAGTTTCATCTCCTTGTCCTTCTTGAATAATTTCCTTCAACACACCGTTGTCTTTCGCGGGAGATAAATCTATCGCAGCCATTCTATAAAGTAGAACACGGAATAACTCGTATAGAATCAACAGCCTCGAAATGAATGCTTCTAAATAAAAAAACAGAGCTTCGAATGAGTTCGTTAATAATTCATGGCTTGGCCAACGGAGGAACTTTCTGGACTCGCAAAGCGCGCGAACGCTGACGACGGGAGGAAATGATAGCGCAGAAACGTAAACGCGTGATTCTACGGGAAAATTATGTTTGAAAATGAGAATACATATTCAACAGCAGTACATACGTCTTACGAGGTAGAAGCGTTTGGCTTTTTGTTCGTACGTATTTGCTTCGCTGAAGCAAACGCAAATCCTTGCAAGCGTACGCGCCGGCGATCCCAAAGAAACTAGTTTCTCCAGTCGTGGTATCTGAGTAATCAATTTCATGGAATTTGCCAGAAAATCCGCGCTACCGGTACCGATAGTCGATGTCACGTTTGATTATGTCTCTATCTCCTCGTGGGTTCGCGTCTTCGCTGAAAAATAAGCATTGAATTAGGCACCCTACCTTATCGACGATATTCCGCGGATAATGAAGATTCCATATTAGTGTTTTAAACTTAAGAAATTTATCAATCGCAGTTAATTATTCTCTTCACATTCGATTGTGATTGATCAGTTTCTTAAAATATCTATTGTAGACCAACACTTGTTGGTCTCTGCCCACAAGACGCGATAATGCTTGCGCGTGGCGGAGTTCCCGCGGTAACCAATGAACTTCTAGTTCTTACGAAAAAACGGCGCGTTGATTGGCTACTTCAGCGCAGCAAGAGTTGCCTCGTCCTATGTGCCAGAGTTTAGTGACGCTAGGAGCGTCGGCTCGTCGCGCATGCGTGCATAAGCATCGAAAAAAAGTTTCGAGATGATCGGGATAGAATAAAAATAGGGACATGTCTTAATGATAAGGTCAATTTCTTAAGGCTTCAAATACCTATTGTAGACCGACACTAAAGCCCGGATCAGACTGCGGATTATGGATTAAGATTGAATTGAATGTAGACAATCAGTGTAAAGTAAACTGAACTCAAGTTTACTGAAACTGAGTGAATTCACCGATTGATCAAATTTCAATCTCAATCTCAATCTTCAATCCACAGTCCGATACGGGCCTTACGTCACTTTGGCTGTGGTCCTTTCCGAGCATTTCGCCAATCACCAACGTACCAGTCAAGTGCGGACCCATCTTTATTTCGCGAGAAACCATCGGCTTTAACCAATAGGAATTAATCTTATCAACGCAGGCCACGATTATGCGCCAATGCGGTGGCGGGACAGATATCGCACGTAATATTCTAGCGACGAAGTTGCATTCGTGTAATTACACCACGCCATATTTCTGTTCCGCGCGCTTTGCTACGGAAAATGTCTGCTGGTTGCCAGTGCATCCTCGGTCGGAGTGAACGGGAATAACGTACGAGCGCGATTCAACAGACCGGCTGCGGTAGCGTCGGGATACGTTGCATACCGTATTGTGGACTACCGTGACTGTTCGTGCGTCGTTTGAGCTGCGCGCAGGAGCGAACGGAAAGGTTATTGCTGGCACATCAGAATCGCGATGTGCACGAACCCGCCACTGCCCGCCCGCCGCACATCCCGGACCGTCGTAGAGCTGAATCGTGCGGTCTGAGCGATATCCCGCTTACTTCGGCTCCCGGCTGCGGCCACCTCCCGCTCAACATGATGTCGGCGAAGCAAAACCCGACGAATCGGACCAGCATGACCGAACGTTGTCGGATTTGTCTGGCCGACAACGGTTGTATGATCAGTCTACGCAACGAGCGCGTGGAGAGCAAGCTCAAGGATCTGGTCAAGTGCACGTTCGTCGATGTAGGTTTCGACAACAGCTCATTTTCGGCCGGGCGTCTCAAGCCTTTATCTTTACCTTTGCTTGCTTGCTGCAGATTAAGCATGAGGAGAACTTGCCCGCCTTCGTATGCCATGTATGCCTGTATAAACTGAATATGTGGAGCGAGTTTAAAGAACGGTTCATACAGTCCAACAAGATCCTTCTGGGACAGTTGCAAGTATCGGAAGTTTCCGATGTCGAGGTGAGTTGCGATTCGATTAATTAGTTAAGTGTCGTTACCGTACACGGCATGATATACCTTCCGCTTCTTTCACCGTAGATTAAGAACCCCTCCAGAGATGGGAGAAACACAGATGGAAGTATAAAAAGGAAACGCTTGAGCGAGAACAGCGAGAACGCTGTTCCCGAACAGAGTGACAAGGTATGTGTTCAGTTTTAATCAAGGTGTGTTTTCAATCGCCCAATTTCTATGCGCTTTACTTACTTATGCCTCCCATTGATAAAAATATACATTGGGTTTTCGGTATTGTTTGATGAAATCTCTTGTACAACCAGTATACTCGAGTGATGCTTCGGTGGCTATCAAACAACCCAGGCTGTCCTGTTTCAGAAAAAGTCGAAGACGGAAGCAACTTCCCCCGAAATTGCGAACGTCGAACGCGTGGTTGGCGAAAATACATTAAACACGGTATACATATCGGACGACGACGACGGCGACGATAAGTCGACCTTGCCGAAAAATTCTGATAAGACGCTAAGTGCGGCCAACGATAACAAGCCGAAGGAAAATGGCGATGAGCGAGTAGAGAGCAAGTCGTCCGTAGGGTTAACGAAAAGTCGACTGTTACCTGGGAAACGCGGCAGAGCTATCGAGAGAAGGAAGGCGTCCACGAAACGTTGGGTGGCGAGGAAGAAGGCGCTCCTGGCGGCGACCGGAGAGAACGTCTCCGATACTGACTCGATAGCCTCCGACGATGCGCAGATGTCGCCTGTGCAGAAAGCCCGCGCCAAGACCAACGCGGACAAGGAAGCGGAACGGCAAAAGAGGATCGCGAAGGTGCTGAAGAACCTGGAGATGAATTTAACGGAGAAGTACACCGTGCTTCGTGACGGCGATCACATCGTCGGCGACACGGATTCCGAGACGCGCAAGACCCGGCTGAGCAAGGAACTGCACTCGAAGGAGGAGAAGAATTTGCTCGACAAGCAGGGTAACGTCAGGAGGACCAGATCCTCGTCGCAGGAGCAGAAAGAGAACACGCCGATGACGAACGACGTTGCGGAAGCCGGTCGCGCGAAGAAGCCGCTGCCCGACGACGGAGCGTTCACCCCGCGTCTGATCAAGTCCGAGCTGATGATCGGTAACGACAGGTACATCGTGACGTCGACGTTGATTCGCACGGGAACGTCGCGCCTGAGCAAAGAAGGCTTGAACAATGTAGCCAAGGACGGCAAGAACCCGAGCGCCGACGACGGCGTGCAGGAGAAGAACACCGACATTATCGACGCGGTCCAGCTGCGCCGGGTGCATCCCGCTTCGACGAATTCGAAGAGCAAGAAGTTCGAGAGATGCTTGAACGTCGACGTGGAGACCACGGAATTGGAGTCGCTGAAGCGCGTGCAGGTCGAACTTGCGGGCTTCGTTGAGCACGAAATCAAGCAGAAGCTGTTCGGCACGAACGACAGCCCCAGGAAGGTCAAGCGGACGGATAACTCTTACGGGAAGGCTTATCGCAAGCTCGACCAGCAATTGAAGGGTATAGTAGGGAAAACTATAATAAGCAACGTCGAGGCCTCCTTGATGAGAGGTATAGTCACGCCTATCAAGCAGCTTCATCAGCAATCGGTTTCGTCCGAGTTCATCGAGATCGCGAAGAACTCGCCCGTGTATCAGCCGATAGTGATCGTCGAGCGTTTGAACATCGAGAGAGAGGTCAAGCTTCGGAGAACGAATCCTTACGTTTACGCTCTGAAGCAGGCTATATCGAGGAACAAAGCAGCCGGGCCGTTCAGCGCGATATCGCGCAAGCGACAGAGCGTGCCTCCGAAGAGGTACCTCGATTTCAACACTTCTGCCCTGGACTCCGACTCCGACGATATGGACGAGATGGTCAGGCAGAGGTCACCCAAGACAACGAACGCGCCGAATCTGAGAACTTACGCGAACATAGCGGCCAAGCAGTCGGCGAACAATCAGACGCCCATAATCAAGCGAATGGACGGCTCGGTCGTTAAAGCCGCGGACAACAACAGCGTAGCCGTGTCGGTCTACAACGTCGAGCAGAATATCACGGCGCACGAGGAGAAGCCGGATTACGAAGAGGCTATTAAGATAGAGGAGGCTATAGCGGAGAATCACATATGCGGGGTGTGCGGCGTCTCGTTCGACAGCCGGAGGGAGGTCGAGGAGCACGTGCGAACTCACAAGACGTCGGGCACGGAGAACAACACGATCACCGTGACACGGCAGCTGCAGAAGCCGAAGGTGAAGCGTTGCAAGAGATGTCAGACCCTGGTGGACGCCCGTTACGTCAAGGCGCACGTCTGCTCGTCGACGCCGCTCTCGCACAAGTGCTACGTCTGCAACTCGACGTTCCGCACGGAGAAACTGCTCGTCCGCCACCTGGACAGTCATGATCACTCGGAATTCACGATAGAGAACATCACGAAGCTCGAGAGCATGAAGGCGAGCCTGTCCGCGAAATCGGACAAGGAACAGGAACCGAGGAGCGAGGCGAAGAGTATCTCAACGGAGAACAACGACGTCCAGCCGGACAAGACGACCAGGATGGGCACGAAGCTGATCGACGACACCCAGGAGAAGCCCAAGAAAGCTTATACCTGTTTCGTGTGCGACAAGATCTTCACGGACGAGGAGGTGCTGAAGGACCACTTGCAGAAACACTGCGACGACGTAAGCGAGGGCGAGCAGAGCAACAGCAAGGAGCAGTACCAGTGCGCCATCTGCGGCAACACCCTGGAGTCGGACCAGGCGCTGGAGGAGCACGTCGGGAAGCACCTGTTCGACGACGAGGACGACAATCCTAATCTGATCAGCATCAGGGAGCAGGAGGACATTCAGTCGAAGATGTACCAGTGCGGCCAATGCTCGGAGGTATTCGACTCGGACATATTGCTGGAGATGCACGTGCAGGAACACGAGGAGGAAGTCGCGATAGCGGAGTGGGAGAAGAAGAGGGTAGACACTTGCCCGTACGAGTGTATGCTCTGTGGCGAATACATCGACACGGAGGAGGAGCTGGCCGAACACTTGGACACGATGCACAACATACGCAACGCTGACGCGTACGTGTGCCAGTTGTGCGACCAGCCGTTCGGCACGCTCGAGGAGCTTCAGGAACACGTGGCTATCCACTGATGTACGATTCTACTATAAATTCTCTTTATTTCGAATTATTCATATATATATATATATAAAAGGGAGATCACAAAAGAGGGACGTCTCTCGAACGCACGACGATATGACGATTATAAATATAGTTTGTGGCCGAGACATTTTCACATTTGTAATTTATGCGACAAGATCTGCCAAGTAGCGACGCGTAAAGTAAATTTTGTCCCTTCGACGAAGCTCCCCGTTTAACGTACCTCGTACGTTCGGCGAAATCGTAATATGATTTGTGGAAAAAATAAATTGATGGAATTTACCCTTTTTTTTTTTCTTTTTTTTGCTGCTTGCGCGCGAGATGTTCGTGAAGATATAATATAATTTATAAAATGCAGATTGTGTACACGTCATATATCATTAACTGTATCTCGAATCTAACTTCCGCAAATTATAAAGACCATACCGTTTATACAGGGTGTCGGGCACAACGCGTGCCTTGTGTACAGGTAGAGCCTATTGTAGAAAAAAAAAACTGAGCGGAAAAGTTCTTCATTGCTTATAATTACGATAATTAATAGAATATTTAAAGAATGTTGGCGCGAAAAGCAATAGAACGAGCTCTGTGAGACTCAAAATGTTTCAGCTTTTTTGCCCAGGGATTTTCAACGTGCACACTTAGGGCCGATTTCACAACCTACGGTTAACTTAATCCGCTAATTACTCCATTGAAATTGATCAATCGCATTTGTTGAATAGAATTGATCAGAACTATAACTAACCACGGTTAGTGATACTTAACCGGTCCGGTTAAGTTAATCGGAGGTTTCGAAACATGCTTTTAGTCAGATATTTTTTAAATAATTTGTGTTATTTGTATATAATTCATTGGTCATTGCGTATCTTTAGATAGTAAAGAACTTTTTCGTTCAGTTTAACGAGTTCTATCCGCACATGAGCGAATGTACGCGTCGTGTTAGATACGTGTATTGTATATCGTGTTTCAGACGACGTGAAAAATTTATTTTTATTCTCTTTAATTTTATTCACTTTAATGTTATTTTAAATATGCTAATAGTGAAGCTGTGTTAAATATATTATAAAGATTGCAACCGCTATTAAAATAAATATTGAAAGATTTGTACCGTGAGACATGTAATTTGCAATACACACACACACACACACACACACACACACACACACACACACACACACACACACACACATATATATATATATATATATATATTATATATTTATGTATGTATGTATGTACGTATGTATAGAAATGTGTAGAAAGGGGGAAAGGATGATAACATGCAGAAAATAACTTTTATGTAAGATAGACGCTCGTATTACTTTGCTGAAAAAAAAGCATTGTTCTTATGTTTTGCATCAAGATGATGCATAAGTAATAAATGTAAATATATTATGTAGAATGCAGATTTGTGTTTAAGTCTCTCATTAAATGTCACATAAAATATGATACTTGTATGATATATCTAACTAGTTATCCAACAAAATTAGATATATTATACCATTATTGCATGTAATATTACTCATAAATGTCAGCGATTTTAGTTGTATATCTATATGTGCAGGGCTCCCATAAATTTTCCCAAAAAGTTTTTTTTTTTTTTTTGGAACTCTAAGACGGACATCTCTTTCCACCAGAAAATATATTGATTTCTTCAGACATACATCACATACATAATCAACGGAAATTTTAATCTATTCGGAAAAATGTGTGCATCGTGCATTTTCTCATGCATGAGTATTTCTATTTACTGGCAAAGAGAAAGAATTTTAGTGCTCCAAGAAAATTGCAGAAATTCATAGGTCTTAAAAACGTGCCGACCTTAAACCTACATTACACCCAATCTAATCTATGATATACCGATGAAGAGTTGTTTTGTCTCAAGCTAATCTCTGTGTCACTTGAAATATAATTATAAAGATATTATAATGCTATATACTTGATATACTTGAAGTTTGTCAAACACAAACAATAGTGTTATATATGTGGTTTAAACGAATAACAATTTATAAAATACTATGTTAAGTGAATTATATATAATTATACTTTTTTTTTAATTAACCACATAGTCACCACATAATGATTAGTATAATGAACATGTATAAAATCCAGATAAAGCTTTTCTTTATGTAAAATGTAAGTAGTTTTCATTTCTAAAGCGCTTACAGAACTTTTAAATTTTGTCTCGGACAATTGATATGTCAGCATAATATATTACACGTGTGAGACTTAACTGTTAATATCTCTTTTTTTTTTTTTTTTAGTTTATTTAGAAGTGATAAGAGAAAGAAAGAGAGATATATTGTCGTTATTTTTGTACGTGGAACGAAACGGAAAATTATGTTGATTGACATGATACGGTAAATCTAAAAGACGTCTTATGTATAAGTATCATTTATTAGACATACATAATGAACTTTATACACAAGCTAGAATCTACTTAACAACTGTATGGAGTCGTGAATACTTCACAAAATCAATTTGAAGGACTAATAAATGAATGATTATAAAAATCAGTCAGACTGAATTGAAAATTCCGCTATACTCTACGATATTTACATAAATACTGTGTACATAGACACAATGTATTCGTAATGAATACCTTGCTTTCTCTTTTCAATGCGTATTATAATAATCGTAAATCAAACATTCTTGTGATTGCAGTTAGATAAAGTAGAAATATCTTTTTTTTTTTTTAGATAAATTAGGACTTCTGGGAACAAATGTGTAAACTATGAATTGTTTCTTCTTACATGAAGGTTCATGCTATATAGCTGCAATTTTATGTATTTATAATTTCAGAGAGAAATTAATTTCACTTGATACACATTTGCGACATTTCCACTCGATAAATGTTACACTTATTCAAGTATAATAACGGCTTTAATAGGAGATATTTCCATATATTTTTCTTTTTCTCAAGTATTATATAGCAAGTTCGAAATATACAAGAATTGTTCTCGACTAAATAAAAACTAGAGCTCGACTTATTTTTTCTCAGAAACGATTTCTTAATATTATCGAACCTATGTAAAAACAAATTATGTACATAACGTATTTTAGATGTGAAAATATTCTTTCGATACAACGTAACATTGATAATTTAAACTTTTATCGCCTAAGTATCTCTCGTGGCAAATCATCAATTTCTTCTGTCAAATCATCATCATCAACTATAAAGTCCCATTGATAAATAGAACATTTCTATCGCCTTGCTCCTGGGTCCCGAATTTTTTTATTTCCGTATATTAACTTTATATATGCAATTTAAAGTCTCGTGTCGTTTATGTGTGCTCTCACATGCTCCGAATATTTTAACACTTGAAATTTATTAAACGACCATAATAACTTCACATATTGCTATGTTCTTATATTCTATTATGTACAATGACACCATTCAGATAGACATTAGTTGCTTTAATAGTACTTTTCTTTTAATAACAATAAATTAAATAGAACTCTCGTCGCAGCAGCCAAAAAAGATCCTTAGTTATAACAATGGTAATGAGTCGTAAATCGCATGATTGTACAATATTCCGATGTCTAAACTCGTTATATACGCGCGACACACGTTGTATCCATGTTTATCCACTGAGACTAACTAGCGCGGGGAGGGGGGGG